AGCTTGTACAAAGTTTCTACCACATCTTGGATGGAAGCATTAAGGTACAAATCTCATAGGACGGATGAACAGTTACTGCTAATAACTTTGGCTGGGTTTGAAAGTGGTATGTCAAGAATAGGACGGATTAGCTAAACTAGGCATTCTGACTTGAGGACGGAAAAGAACAGTCATGTAATATAATGATTGTACGTTTACCAGGACGGATATAGCTCAGTGCATAGAACTTTTATTGTAACTTTGGCTTACAGAAAATACCTTGTCTGAAATCATTTGGCAGTTAAATTGTCAAAGTGTAAGATCTGATTGTCTTTAACTGTACAACACCAGCAGCACACATATTGCTGTAACTCTCAGCAAAATTATACTAACTTGACACAAAGAAGGGTTCCAAACACTCATAGTCTGTTTAAAGCTTGTTCCTTAAAAATTTCAGGTTTATGTTAATAGTACATTATGCAATCATGTGTAATACATAAAGTATATGCATGAAGCAAGAGCTTAGGATTAAAATCTCTTCAAACAAAACTTACTAGACTGTTAACAACTGTTTCTGACAATTCTCGTTATTAATAACATTACTCTCCGTTGTTGTTAGAGAAAGCTTGTATAATGTTACAGCCAAGTCAGGTGTAAATTTTGAATGTTTACAATCTTTGCATTCCCATGCTGGAAGTGCGTTATATTGACAAAACTGCCATGTTGCTCTGCATAAACATACAGTCACAGATAGGGGGCGCTAGAAAGGTCTGAGCGTTCCCGCCAACCCCCGCAGAGACCAACGAGTAGCAGTGATGCCATCATGACGCACGTCCAGCGTGAGAACTGGCTCCCTGCAGTTTGTACGGGAGATGTAACACGGGCACTGGTACGTCTCCGCCGCCTTGACGGGGTCGGTGAGTTTGTCGGACTGCGGGACACACGTGACGTGGATGACGGGGAGGGTGGAGGGGCCGGACTTGGGCGGCGTGTCCAGGAGCTCACTGGTGGTCTTCTCCCACGTACATCCCCACAGGTACAGCCCAAATACAAACATGCCCTCGTTGGGAGGATCTCTCAGCTGAGGGAGAAAGAAGAAAATTACCATCTATGAGTCTTATCCAAATGAAATGATCAGAGACTCTATTTGTTAGAAAATGCAATTAGTATTTACAAAACCCTTAGCACACATGCAGTTCTTACCTTCTGTTCACTTAGTTTTTTTTTTAGTTTTAGAATCATTGTAAGTTATGGTACTGTAGTAGTTACAGGATCTAATTTTAATGTGTACTCAAGTATTACATTGTACAGTAACTGTGAATCGCACACATTATGAGGTGCACACATCCAAAGCAATGCATGGTGAGACCTAATTGGCCGAGTGCAATGTTACAATCATTATCCTTCAAATATCTACATCTTAGCATAACCTCAACCACTGACATGTTTGGAACCACTACTTACATGGTCCTTGTCCCTTGCAGTGATCTCAGTCTGGAACATGAGAGGCTCCACATATCCATACTTGTCTGTGAAGTTCTTGACTGACTCAGACTTGAGCAGCCCAAACAGGGCACGGGGCTGGAAAAATGCTCCAGGCCAGTAGGCAGGGAACTTCTCTCTCCCCTGTAAATTAATCAAAGGGAGTTTAAGATTTCCAATATGGAACCATATCGATAAACAGTAATAATGTGAAAGTTCATGTATAATTGGTACGGTGAATTCATGGTAAAAGTCTTACCACTGACTGAAATCTTACCACTGACTTCTTCTTGGGGTGTAGAGGGCTCTGGATAGGGGGCACTAACTTATGTACATTGTAACAGTTACTACAGTTGTAGCTTTAATTTGTAAAACCATCAAAATAATGTTTAACTATTCTCAAAATCTATCTTTTGCAACATGATTTCCTAGTAGCTATACTTCAGCATCTTTGAAAACATTGTGATATGATTGCCAACTTTGGCTAAATTCTGTATTATGTAAGTTTTAAATCAATGATTGACATCTGTCCATCTTACCTGAGACAAGAGCTTCTCAAAGTGTGCGTGTCTGTTGGTGAGGTCAGTCAGCCACTGTGCAGGGTTCCATGTTGGCGGTGGGACGGCATCCCCGCCCAGACGACACCACAGCTCGGGCGTACGGTAGTGGTACAGGTCATCCGCAACCGTCAGGTAGTCCTCCGACAACTGGTCACCCAGGGGGAGGCCTTCAACTGTGTCAGCTGCTGACTTGATGGCCTGAAGATTCAAATGAGGTAAAACATGCTGTTTTAAATTTGAAAGGAAATATTCTTTGCTTACACCACAATTTGCTCCTGTGAGTGATTCAATGATGCAGTGTTTAAAGTCTCAATCACAAATTCTGGACCTTCCCATTGCAAGACCTTGGTCAGTTATATGTGACAGGGGCTTAAAGTCCACAGTGGGCACACACAGTGCATTGTTGACCAGAAAAAAAAAGAGTATCTAATTGTTTGCACTGCCTAGATTTGCGGCAGACACCATTTGAGCATTGAGTGTATCTGACAACACTAAGAATTGAAAACCCAAATGTGCCACCCTCAATCAATGAAATTCTGGTTCATGAAACAAGCAATGCCATACACTTCTGGTGCCAATACAAGATGTGCAAAAGTATGTGTCACACAATCTACAGACTTACCAACCAGTTAAGACCTGTGGCATGGAGGAAATGGAAAAAAACAACAGCCACAACAATTATCAAACAGGTTGTAACTGGACTAATATTGCACAAAATTGTCAGAAATTTGTTCATCCTGCCAACTAAATTCCTTGAAAGTCTTTTCAATCGCTTTATGCACAAATACACATATCAAATATTAATGCCATATAATAAATATGGCATGAATCTAAAATGAAATCTGACATTGGTAACATTACTATTCTGTTAGATGAGGTGAACACAACTTGGCCATTGTCTCTTTTAAATATCAGTGTAACAGTTACTTACATTGAGTGACCTGCGAACTTCACCAATGAGCTTCATCAGCGCTTCCACCTCTCTCTGGATGAACACATTAAAGGCTGTGGCTCCTCCCAGTTTCTTGATACGGTCAGCAATATACTCCTGAAACATAGTAGGCAGTCCAATCATATAAAATAGTCATGTAGTTGTCAAGCCATGCTGCTGTAAAGTTTAAAAATACTAAATTGACACCTGTTGCAGCCCATAGTGTAACATTACTTCCAGTTTAATAATTAATGATAAAATGAATAATGCATTCCATTGCCAGCTTGTGTCCTGCAACGTTTGTTTCAAAGAGTGTTACAGTAATTTTCCTGAGTTTTAGATCAATTTCAATCATTATTTTTCAGAAAAGAATGATTTCACACCGACCTTTCCCCATGCCCTGGGTACTTTAGTGAGCAGAGTAGTGGAGAGTTCGTACAACTCCTGTTCCTTCCTGTTCTTAAGTGCAGCGTAAGTCTGGGTGGCAAACACCCCCCGATTCACCACCAGGGGGAGGCTACTGGTCGCACTGATGGTCGTCAGGGGGGGACCTGGGAGAGGGGGTGTTGAGAAAAGTATGATTGAATTAGTCTGTGATATACAATGTTACAGCTGTAGTAACTGTCACTGTGACAATAGTCTCATTATGAGAAGTTAAAAAAAGAGACAATTTTAGGCAAAATGATGGACTGAGAAAAAAGAAGAAGAGATGTTGGACTGTACCACATACCTGCGTATGGAGTGGGGGGTCTGGGTGATACCACATGACTGAGGGTGGGGGAGGATGGCATGATGTCATACACACTGTTCAGTCTGGTGAAGATATACTGGTCATCTCCCAGTAGGGTCTGTACGAAAAACACAGAAAATGTGTCACAAAATTAGATTGTCCAAATCTGATTATAAAAACCTAAAAAGTATCATACGTAAAGTGTCACATTGTTGTGGGTAAAATCAAATACTCTGAAGAGAAGACTTCATAAAATTGTGTCTTGAAATGCCCAATCCCATACCTCAGTGAATGAGTGCATGTTGCAGGCTTCAGGCACATCCAGGAAGAAGTTAGGGATCTGTTCCAGAGCCTGCACCAGGGAGTTGTACCGGATGTAGTTGGCAAAGAAGGCAGCAGGGATCTTGTGTTTCACTGTGGGTAGAATACACAGTCAATCATTTTGATCCAAACAAATTAAAACACAACCATTTATTGCTCTGGCATTGCAGCCTTAAGATCTAATAAAATATTGTTTGCTTATATAATTTTATCCTTGTGATAAGATTTGTGTACAACTCACATCTGGGGACTTCAAACTCCTTCTTCATGGCGTTGGGTCCCATCCAGTAGTCCACCATAGCAGACAGGGTCTGCTGGTCATACTCATCACTCACATAGCTGCCATAGATTACCTGGGGGAACACAAGGAAACCTTCAGGAAACAAAACCAGGGATGATTGGCAGCTATCTATCATTTTCTGCTACTATGAGATGAGCTGCGCATTTGGTATCTTAAATGCAGGAAATATCTATTAAGACATTTTAGGATGACATTGTGATTTGGTCTTCATGGTATTTTGATGGTCAAAATGGATTTATGGTGCTACACATACAAATGTGTCATGTATTAATGACTCATGAGTGCACAATGACTATAATGATTATCATACTATTAGACAAGTGTTATGATAATCATAAAGGATGCGTATACCTCTGTCAGCATATATCTGAGTGCAGTCCATGCAATGCCTTTTCCAGGTGTACCAGGCATGTCAGTAGAAGTGGTGTCACTGAACTCATCTAGCACCAGCCTCAGACCCTCCTAAAAACAAGATAAGGAATCCGATATAATAACTTTAGGATGATGAAAACAAAGTTAACACTTGTCTTTGGCGACTAAAAATCAGACCATCCGCATAGATAACAGACTATCTGCTCAAGTAATAAATATATTGAATATGAACCATAAGTGTCCACAGCATCTTTTTATATTGTTCTCCAAGCTATGAGTATAATTGTAATCATCAATCTGAGTTAATCAAGACAGTGTACGCACCTGAAGTTCATTGTTGCCAAAGATCATGTCCCCAGGCCTGTTCCAGCCTCCCCTGCCAAACCTGGCCCTGAGGCGCAGAGCTCCGTGCACCATGAACAGGTTATGGAGGACGGCAGGCCACTCAGGCCGCGTGCTGGTCTTCAAAGTCTCAGGCTCAATCCACTGCATGGACCTCACCATGTGGTCCCTCATCATCTGTGGAAATAATGAAGCAAAATGAAAGATCGTTAAGTATATTCTGTACCTTAATGTAGATTTAAGACTTCCTACACAATCATTGTTTTATTTTTAAATTCAAATTCTTACCAATAAGATTGCTATATTTGCAATGCAATTTTTCTATTCTGTCTAATATTCGCATCAGAGCTACCATTGGCTCCAATTAGGCAACAGACATGCATGCATCAGAAAAGTAAAGAATGAAAATGAGATAACCTTTTCTGGACCTTTGACCTAACTTCCAGTAAGTGTAAATGATGAGTCTGGCATTTGGAAATAACTACAAGAACACAAACAGCAATGCTGAAAAAGAAAATTCCATACACAGAGGAACACACTATAATCAGTTCTCACCATGGGAGTGTCCACCACCACTTTGATGGCATGTTGCAGCAGGTGGATGGGAAGTTTAGGGTGGGGCTGGGCCGACACCCACAGGCGGAAGTTGGAGTCAGCCGGCAGCTTCTTCTCCTGCAGGGTGGTGTCCAGGGTTTGCAGGAAGTGCAGGGCATTGTGGGCATTGTGCAACAGCAGCCAATGACCCTAGAGGCAAGGGACAAAAATGTTACACTGAGTCTCAAAACAATTGTACAAACCAATATGGGTCAGTACATCTATTCAAGGCAGTATTTACATAAAGATCAGTACTTTTTTTCAAAAACAATCATATGGTTCTTTCCCTTGGCAGTGAAGTGAGAGGCAAGCTATACAACAATAAAAAAAGGCTCTGCTCCTGAGGTGTTGCCAAAAAATGGTACAGCTTTAGCACTGACTTGATATTATTAAGCTGTATATCATAGTGTATTATAAGAGGTAAACTATAACCATTACAATAGTGATACAGCCAGGAATGCCCAGTTATCTGGAGGCTATTCAAAGGGGCTAGCCTTGGTAACTGCACAACATACAATATGAACACTGTCAGTAAGTTACAATTCTCATTCAAATGCGTTCTTAACAGACTGAGGTACATGTAGCTTTTACAAAGCTCATTCTTACCTCTTCCGCAGCCTTTGCCATGGCCCTGCGAACTCTCCTCTCCTCCTGCGGACTGCCACTGCTCAGGTACACCACCTGGCACGCCTCCTGCTTCTTGGCGGCGAACTCCGTAAACAGCGTCTCTGCCAGGTCGCTCTCTGAGGTGTACAGCAGGATGATGGGAGTCTGCGGGGTGGACTGTCTCAGCACACCTGGCAGGTCTAGTGGGATCTCTCCTGCATACCTGGTTGTAAAAGATTGTTTAGAAAGTCACAACACCGTAATGACTGGTTTCCATTGTGAGAGAAAGCCCTTAACTACTTTTGGACAGATTTTCTTTGTTATTCATACTATAGTAATAAAGAATGTTGAGCTCCAATTGGTAGTTCTAGGAATGGGAATGCTTCTCTATATAGTAATGGGCATCTGTCTACAAGCTCTCAGGGAAGAGGATCCATTAGCCCAACAGTGAGAGATTCAGGAGGAAACCAGGAATTCAGCACCAAGGACAGGACAGGTTTGAAAGTTCCTGTCTATGGTAAAAAATATATACTATTTCATGTCTAAGCTGAATGGAATTTTAAATGAATTCCTGCAGTAAGAATTGGCCCAGGAATGGTTTAAACTGAGTTGATGCTATACAGGTTTTCTGTTGTTTCATCCCTTTTGCAGATGTTGGATATACGGTACTCACTTTTTACCCAAAACCTTGGACACAAAGTTGGAGCTGGCATGCATGATGCGGTCACTTCGTAAGGCCCGAATGACACAGTAGCGCTGCATAGGTGTGTAGTAGTCGTCCATCTTGTCTGGCAAGGCGGCCAGTTCTGGCTTGTCGTTCTCACAGAGTGTCCTCCACGGCATCTCACGGCCATCTTTTGGTAGTTTGTCAAAGGCATCTTGGAACCACTGGTAGTATACAGCCAGGACCTGCATTCAAGAAGAAAAAATATTTATTTTTATATCTACAAAAATCAAGCAAAATGCAAGAAATCATACTGTAATAAACGTACAATCATGTACATGTACACATATTGAATTTCAAGGTCACCCCCCTCCCACATAGTATTTCAATGCACTGAATTACATACATGTAGGAAGTGCTCTTACTATCATATTGCAGACAATGATTACTAAAAGAATGCCTCACGTACTTGAAGGTTATGGTATTGGTCATCCAGCATCCAATCAAATGGCTTCCTGGCATTAGCGCGGGCATCAGAGCCGACCCCGTACCCCATGGTAGACATGACGGTTGAGGCGAAGGTTGGAGAGATGATGAACTCCCTCTCACCTGGCCCCAGTCTGCCTTCTGAGTCCTCAAGCTATAGGGTAGTGAAAAATTATTGAATCAAGACAGGTCACTGTTAGAAAATGTTACTGATAAGTCTTCAATAGTGTATTATTGACTTACATGACAAATGTACTTGACTTATGCCTGGTCTTGGTACCAGTGTGCATTATAATGGGGGGCATTGCTTTCGAGATAGGAACTTTTTTTCCATCGTGGCAGGATTAAGTAAATGGTGCTAAAATGTAGCTTCCAATTTACTTTTATAATAAGTAATATTGATACTAGAAGACAAGTGACTTTTTATGTGTCTGTTACAATATCCTTACCTCCATGGACACCAGCAGAGCAAACAGAAGCTTGTCCCTCTCAAACAGGGAGCGTGCTGTGGTCATGTAGGCAGAGTAGGTCAACCGGTCAACCACAGTGTCTGTTGAGGCTCTGTCATGAGGAAAAATACAGCTGTTTTAAAATTGTATATTAATTAACAATTAACAATGTTCACAAACCTGCCCAGCTACAATGTACCTCGAGTGACCATCACAGGAACAATCTAAACCTAAAAACTGTCTAAACATAGCCTGACTGTGTTTAAATAGAGGTACTGCATGCCCCTAAGCTTTTGGATATGAATTTAGGCTTTGACATTTACGTGTGCATTGTGTATGTAGGAGGCAGCTTTTCAAAAATAGCAAAACTGGCAAACTGTCACAATCAGTCACAATAGACTTTTACTAATTACTGTTTTGTATATTGTTCATCCATTTATGATTTAGTATACAAAGGAAATTAAATAATTTAAGACTGGCCGAGGAACATCTTTCAACTCGTGGTGTGGGTGGCATGACCTTGGTAAACAGTTCAGATGACTTAATTGGTGTAAGTGCTAATACCTCAAAACGACCTACAATTATTTGATACTTATGAAAACTTTAATCTCCAAGCACGTCTTAGGGTGGCAAAAGACAGTTACTGTATCAAATTGGCCAGGCATGTATTGGATCCTCTCAGACAGGCCATTGGTCTCAGAGGATCCAATACGTGGCTGCTTGGAGATTATGAAAAGTTTACATTTTCAGTTACTGTGCCAACCATCATGCTTTCTACGTTACCACCTAACAGTTCATTCTAATCTGATTGGTATTGACCTTTACTCCTTATACTATTACAACAATGAAAAACAACTCAAAGTCCATTGGTACCCTGTGCAAAGGTGTAAAGCCAAAAGGGAGGGGATTGGTTAAATTTGAAATTGTTCAAACAGAACACGGAGGGCCACTGGTCACGAGACTAGCAAGTTACTGTAACAGTTCTAACAGTTACATTGTTCACACAGTAGTCTGAGTCAACTGCTACATTCAGCACAAGCTTAACATCTGCTAAGTTTCTTCCATTAAAACACAAGGTAAGTCCATTTTCTTGAAAAATATGATAGAAACTGGAGGAGATTGAAAATAAAATGTGTCTATTGGTGGCTGTTTTGTTCAGGGAGATTTCCTTGGATAAATATGGCCGCTATATTTTAGGAATTAGAAGTTGTAAAAGAAGATAATGGTTAATATGTAAAAGATCCTTTCAGCAAGACACAATTTGCCATTATGTTATGATTTAGAATTTTAGGTTTATGTCAAATATGAAAATTCATAGTCAATATGTTAAATCTTCTAAATCTTTCTTGCAGTCCAATATTATGCACATACATGTATGTTTGACTCTTTTTTTTCTTTTATGTGACTAGAGACATAAAGTATGCCTTCCATTAAAGACCAAGGCCCAGCTAACTCAGTTTGGTTGTAACTTTTGCCTCTTAAAGTGATAAGTAAATAATAATGTATAAAAGATATACTTAGTATTGAAGGATTGTGTGTACGTGACCAGATGTACGTGACTGAGTTAGTTATTTCCTCCCACAATTCCAAGCGAACCCCATGAGCAAGCATAAAAAAGACCATACTTTGGTAAACAAATTGGGCATGATTTTGCAAATAATGACTTTATTATTAATAATTAAAAAGCTGCATGAGAGGGCTTTTAATTATGTGACTGTCAACTAAAAAAAGGGAGAAACATCACATTCCCTACGTACTGTAACAATTAATGCACATGATTTACAGGGTTCACAGCAAATTTTGAGTTTGAGTGAATTTACAACATTCTTAGACTTTTTTCTATCCTTTTCAACAGTGCCCAGTCCCATGGAGTCCCATGGATGACCAGGGTGACTCAAAAACAACTACGGTTGAACTTTCCTCTCGTAATAAGCTATACAGAAGGATTAGTGATAATTTTTCTGAAATTGAAGTGGAAAGCTTGCGAGAGTTGATGATTACTGATGGGCTTATTGCTAGAGGAAGAGTTCAGAATGCAAGTCCGCACGAAATATTTAACATGTTGGAAGACGATCACAGGATTGGTAGGGGGAATCTTGGATTACTGAAGGAAATACTGAAAGTCCTTGGAAAAGGAAAGCTTTCAAAGGAAGCAGAAGATGTGGAGAAGGAAGAGGGTAAGTACATGACTGTACATCTCAGATGTTATGAGAGGTGAAAGTTGCTCTTGCTGATCAGGAAAACTCTGACTAAATAAGTGCTGAGAATACTGAGGATTTTGTACAATAAGAGACAAATTGAGATCTCCCAAATATAAAGTAATATGTAAATATAATTATTGTGATAAAGCACAATTCTGACATCCAGTATTTGGTTTTGCAGATTTAATATCAAGAGCATGTTAGATATGACAATGTACAATCATGATTGTACAAAATTTGTAATGTAGTTGTTTCACTTTTCTCCCTGCTGCCTAACCCTGTAAACAATAAAATCTGGTGGCAAAGGTACACCACCTTCATTAGGAAGAAGGTTATTACAAGAATCTTGAAGTTCATTTTCGACACCTTAGAATGCAATGAAGGAGATACAAGATAAATCACATAAAATGTCATGTACAAGTTACCTTACAGGTTATTATAATACACTAGTCTAGCTTCTCTACTATATATGACTTGTAAATATATTCTACTGTTCCCAGTGAATTAAGTCTCACTTGGACATTTTTTATGTTTTTTTTATGACGATTTACCACATTTGTGGAAGGATTGACATAACAGGTGACTATCACCTTTTCAAAGATGTCAAACCTGAGACCAGACAGTAATGTTTGAACCACTCACACCGGGAAGGTCCCCTACTCTTTTCGATAAGTGCGGTAGGTTCTTTAACGTGCGTGGGGTGTGGCTCTCCTCAAACACGGGACCTCCATTTAACGTCCTATCCGAGGGACGTCCCTAGCCGAAGCTAGGTACTCATTTTCACCTGAGTGAAGTGAGGAAAGTCTTGTTAAGTACCTTTCCCAAGGGTACAACGTCGCGGCGCATGTTCGGACTTGTTCGGGTACGACCCGGAATCGAACCCGGGTCTCCCGTTTCGTAGTCCAGTGATGTACCACTACACCACACGACGCCACATTACTTGTTTGTATTGGCTACTTATATATCAAATATTATAGCTCAAATTTGCCAACAATATTATATGTCACTAGGTAGTCAGTAGATTCAGAGATGATACAAGATAGTAAGATATGGTACAAATCATGTACAAGTATCTCTTCATTCTTTTCATATCTAAGATTAGATTTTGTATTATTTAGTACACATGAGTGTATATTCTTTCGATATAGGCATGAAAGTGTTAAAAGTGAAACAAAGGAATGCCTCAGATGAAATGCAGGTTAGCAGTGATGATGAAAGATCAAGTCACTCTGACAGCTCTGCAGAAAGTGACACAGGATATACTACACCTCCAGAGGACATGGACATACAGGATTCAGAGAGTGGTAGGTTTTTCTCCCATGTTTTAGATAGTGAATTTTAGTAATCAAGATCAAGAGACAGTACAAAACAAAAGCACAAAGTTAACATAAACACATTATGCCTTGGCAATCACTCGTGAGCTTTATTTGTAATCAGATACAGAGTCATGTACAGATACATAGTCATGCACAGATACAGATTCATGTACAGATATACAGACTTTCCGAGTATGATGACCGTGTCAGCCCCTGCACCTGAGTGAGGGTCACAGTTGACACGGTAGCCTTCGCGTGAATTTGTTTAAGGTGGATAACAGGTTGCGAATCTGAGACCCACACACTTGGGCATCCGTCTTCCCCAGCGGATCCATCGAGGGAGACGTGCTGGTTCCGGTTCGGGTGCTTGCAGCGAGCTGCCGGTGACTTGGTTACGCTCAAGTTCCGCCTTGATCACGCCAGCCCGCCTGGCGCTGCTCTCGTCCGCCAGCTGAAGACAACTGCCGTTGGAGACTTGACCCTCTAATTGAGGGGGGATACGTGTAAAGTGCCTTTCCCAAGGGCACAACGTCGGTGCGCATGTTCGGACATGCCCCCCTGCTCCGACCCAGGTTCGAACCCGGGGCTCCTTGTTGAGCGCCGAACGCTCTATCCACTACGCCACACGACGCCACTATACACATTATGCACACACACAGTATCACACAAACAAACTTACAGACAACACACAGTTTCAGTAACAAGAATGCCTCAGTAAGAGGCAAAATACTCCTATATGATTATATGGATTATATGACTTTGCATGAATGTTGTTCTTACTGCGTCAAAGGGTCTTATTCATAGAGTCATAGAGAGTAAAGATTATTATGGATCATACCTAATATGTCATTCTTATTTGCTCATTTTGTTTGCTGTTTTTTTATTGTTGTTGTTTTTCATAACACATGACTGTACACATATATAGAGCCAAAAACCTGTGTGCCTCAACCAAAACCACCAGACTCTGAACTGGACACAGAAGAGACTCAACCCAAACTACCAAACTCTGAGCTGGAGTCAGAAGAGACTCAACCAAGACCACCAGACTCTGAACTGGACACAGAAGAGACTCAACCCAAACCACCAGACTCTGAACTGGACACAGAAGAGACTCAATCCAAACCAACAGACTCTGAACTGGACACAGAAGAGACTCAACCCAAACCACCAGACACTGAACTGGACACAGAAGGGACTCAACCCAAACCACCAGACACTGGACTGGACACAGAAGAGACTCAATCCAAACTACCAGACCTTGAACTGGACACAGAAGAGACTCAACCCAAACCACCAGACCTTGAACTGGACACAGAAGAGACTCAATCCAAACCAACAGACTCTGAACTGGACACAGAAGAGACTCAACCCAAACCACCAGACACTGAACTGGACACAGAAGAGACTCAATCCAAACCACCAGACTCTGAACTGGACACAGAAGAGACTCAACCCAAACCACCAGACACTGAACTGGACACAGAAGGGGCTCAATCCAAACCACCAGACTCTGAGATGGACACAGAAGGGACTCAACCCAAACCACCAGACTCTGAGCTGAACACAGAAGAGACTCAATCCAAACCAACAGACTCTGAGCTGGATTTAGAAGAGACTCAACCCAAACCACAGAATGTAGAGTCGAAGCAACTAGACACTGAACTGGAAACAGAAGAGACTCAGCCCAAACCTCCAGATGTAGAGCCCCATAATTTAACACCATACTCTGAACTGGAAGCCACCACAGTGAACATACTTCTTGTGGGGTGCAAGCGTAATGGAAAGAGTGAAACAGGCAATACTTTGGTCAACCAAAAAGCTTTCAAAGTTACCCGCAAAGGTGGAACACAGGAATCTGAGAAGTGCACCAACACTTTAGATGGTCTGGATGGTGTGAAAATAAAAGTAACTGTGGTTGATACTCCAGGACTTTCAGAGATGCCAAAAAAATCTGAGCTGGATGAGGTCAAGAAAGGGGCCAACATGATGACTGAGGGTGTTGATGCTGTTGTGCTAGTTTGGAACAATCAATCAGACGAAAAT